CACACACACACACACACATATATATATATATATATATATATTTATATATATATATGTGCGTATATGTCAAAAGTTCATTTCAAAAATACTCTCAGACACCCACCAACTACTAAATAATTAACCTGACACTCAATGTCGGAACTTTTATTTGCTCGTGCATACCCGCATATTGTCACTCTGTTTACCAACTCTACTACGGCTGCTCTGTTATAAAAAAAACAAGTTCCGCTCAAAATAACATAGATAACCTGTTTAGTTAAAAAAGTGGACATTTGATTTATTTTTATTTCATTTTCTCCGATGGTGTGGATTTTATAACTCCCGCAACTTCTTTAATTTTAAATTCACCCATTCGGATGTATAAAGCTACTGCCGACTTCATTTGGTTTGAATTGTTCACGAGNTAAACTTCGACATCATTGGTTTCTTTTTCGATATACTTTATGATCCAAACCCATAAACATCCAGGAGATGAAGAGGCAAATATCCCCACCCCATCGCAAGCAGGTTTACTTTTGTGTACTTCCTCAAGCGAGGGTTACTTGCATGTTCAGTGTCATTGGAGAATGAAACAAGAAGGATGTGATATCTATTTTGACTCGACTAACGGTTCCATACATGTGCATGAGTCTGTGGCATGCTGGCACCGAAGATTAATCAAAATTCGACAGCTGGAACACATTTTACTAATTCGACGGACAGTTATTTCACTCAACATCGGTTAGTAACTCCTTGCAACGAGAAACTGGTGAAATGTAAAGCAGACATACGTGATGATTTTACTCACACTCCAAATAAGAAATCTTACGTTGTGAATAAAATAAAACCCAAATCGGCTCGACTGGTAGCACACCTCATTCCAAAGGCGGGATTTGTCATTCCCATTCAGATCGATGCCCAATACACGACTGACAAGATACCCCATTGCAGTGAGGGGAGGGAGTGACCAGTCGGCCCTCCATACGACCTTGAAATAGGGGACCTGTCTGTCCCGACGTGGTACGTCTAGGCAACCTGCATTTGGCTGGCTCTGTCGCTTGTGCTGAAAGCAAACCATCTAACGAACCAATTGGCTTCGCGATTTGGGCGAATCTGTCAACAAAAATGTGAACCTATACGACATACAGGCTGAAAAGTAGGCTCACTTGTAACTACGAGCCAATCAGAGCGAGCCTAAAATCAGGACTGTTGTAGCTCGCCTTCCTTAATTCGATTAGGTGATTGGCTGTCTGTCATTTGAGCCTCGCATTACACCCACACTCGACAGGTAAGCCAACGGGGTTGGTCCAATCGATCGCGATAGGGTTTGAAAGCCCGACATCGACCATTTTGGGCCACATCTTGCGACCTGCTCGCCCGGTAAGTACGGCGTTCCTGCTCTGCGCTCGTCTTGTCGTGTGAAGCTTGGAGTGCTGTGATCACTGCGGGTAGTTTTGGTGGCAGTTTTGCGGTAATCCAAGCAATAGGTATTTGTTGTTCTGTTCTTTCTATCTGTGGTTCGTGCGTCCTACTGTTTTAATGCACAATCTGCAGATTGTGCATTAACATAAACATGTTTATTCCGATGAATTTTTAAAAAAGACAGGCCCAGCACTGCTTTTTGTTGGTTTTTACTATTCATACGTAATTCTAGGTTTGAGAATGTACAATCGCATCAACTAAGAACTTTTCATTGTGCTAATTCTCAACTGTCACGTAAAATTCACCGTGTTCGAATGCTGTGGTGTTATTTATCGTTGGAGTGTATATTGCTCTCCTGAGGTTCGTTCGTTCCTGTTGGTCCACCTGTGTTGTCAGACCCTCGTGATTCTATCATCTCAGATCGGATCGTCAATGTCAACAGCAGTAGTTGGTTCATCGCTTGCGGAATTCCCCACAGCTGGATGCGCGCCTGTTCCGCTGAGCGGATTATCTGTCTCCCAGCTCTGTATTTCTACCACCTTTTTGGGGCTTCCACTGGATTATTGCGACAAGCTTCCTGCGGATACGGTCTTTGTCCGCCACTGCATGTGAATCATGACCGTGTTTTCGTCCACTTACTGAACTGAACATTGTGGCTGGGCGGTGTTATTAAGTGTGGGAGTGTAAAGTGCAGCATCCACATATATCTGGAGCACTCGTCGGTTATTACGCAGACGTGTTAAGACTGATCTTATTCTTCAATGGGTGCTGGTACCATTCAGTTCAGTTCGCACAACCATTGCCCTTTCAATGGTTCGGTTACTGTCTTTTGGTTACTCGTCGACTTCTGATGTTTTCTGTCCTGAGACAGCAATTAAGATTGTTCTCTGAATGGACTGAAACGTTATGGTTTATCGTTTGTTCGATCAACCAGTCGCCGAATTGTTATGATATCCATCCATCGTGCTCCCTTTTACATGCTTATGATAGGCGAGGTATACATGTACATATATATGTGTATTCATATATATGTATATGACAGTTTTGTAAACAACGGTGTTGATTGTTGCTTTTGTAACTCGGGTAGTAAAATTTGATGTTCATTACAGTTCTCAATGCAGTTACTGCATTGAGGATGTCACCTCGATTGGTGATGAAACGTTTGCAATACAATTGCCGAGCTCAGTGAACAACTGAACATCAAACATATGTATATATAAGACGGACTTTAGTAACAGCCAAAAAATCAACTGCTCTCTTCCTAGAATACACTGCCGCAGCGTGTAAAGATAGTACTGCCTACCCGCTGGAGAGATCTCATCACTGTCTTCGGCCCCGAACTCCGATAACGTGCTATTCAGAGTTTAACGGATAAATGAGGCAGCAGGTACATTACTGTTGTCATCAAATCCTAGGTTCTTCCTGGGGGCTAGCTAGTTTAATACTCCGTTCTTTTTGCGTGGAGACAATATCTTCAACGATTTTCGATGTGCCAAACTCAACGCTTAGTGAAAGTAGTTTGCCTTTTCAAGGAGTTGAATTCTGTGACTTCTGACATCACTGCTGAATTTTCGAAACAAGACCTTGTGATATCGGGCGACTGGGGCTTGTGATTTGAGATTGAAGGCCATTATTTTCCACTCAGTTGCCCGTCCGAGGAACGTGAGCCATCACGTACATCATGCCCGCTTCGAACACGCGATTTTGCGGTATTGATACTCAGGGTGTTTATGGCATCGCAAAGGCTGTTGTTTGGTGCTTCATGACGGTTCATGAATGATCACCTTGACTTGATTGAAATATATCGCGAGTTAGCTTGCTCTAGGTCCTCTCCGACCTTGAGAGTTACGGTTAATCTTAAAGATCAGTTCCACTCATTACGGTCATTTTTTATTAGTTTAACCATGTAGGATTTTTTATTTGTAATTTTCCCCCTTGTCGCATACCGCGTGACTGTAGGTTAAATAGTCTATGGTATAACTAGACCATAGAACACTGGTGTTCTAGCTATATTTTTGTTTTAGAGTAATGGAAGATTTGATTCCATTTCCCAGGTGGGATTCGTCCTGGTTGGGTCTCATCAGCGGTGCAAATCCATCGACCATCGAACCCGAGGTCTCACAAGCAGAACGCAGTCGCGCTACCAAATCAACCACCGGGTATCTAGTCAGACCGTTTTTCATTTTCCATTTACGGGGTATGGCACAACCCATCTGTGCGAGCTCGGTGCGGGCATTACGCCTCACTTACCTCAGCACCAGCCCCCAGTTGACTCGGTTGGAAACTTTCACAACCTGACTACTTGTTTCAGTGCTTCCTAGATTTTCAATTCGCGCTTTATGTGATCTATACACGACGAATCCCACCTACGGGGCTGTATCTCCTTTGTTAATGCAACCCGTCACCATAAGTGAGGCATGTTACCGTCTCGATGAGTCTTTACTGAGACGTTCCAGGCTTTGCTTATCGCTCAGTTAGCACTTAAAAGTCGGAGCAGACGCCGAAGGACTTGTTTGATTTCCCCTGGGGCTTCTCTCAGTTGTTTGTCCTTCTCATTTTCAGCAATTCTATTCGCTATGTCTCCTTTGAGCGCGGAACTTGAGGCAGCTATCTCACAGCTCCCTCCAAACGTCCGTAAATATGTTGAGGAGAAAGCTGTACTTTGCCAACCGGACCACATTTACGTTTGCGATGGCTCGGATGAGGAATTCAAGAAATGTCTAACCGACCTGGAGAAATCCGGTAAGATCATAGTCCCAATACTGCATCTAATCAGGCATCTTGTCGTGCATATATGCGGGCCTCTTATTGTACCTGTTGTCGCGTGCTTGTGTTCGTGTGCATGCTGTTCTGTCACTCCATACGTAGTAGACCATCCAACTGCCAGTAGTTGTCCTGCCTATGGCAAAGTCTATCTATCTAGAATATGTAAATGTCTTATGCCCATAGTAATTGGCTGATATTCTTTCTTACGTCGGTCAGGGACATAAGTATTGTTTAATGTAAGCAGGATAAAAGAATACCCGTTGAAAGCGGTACACTACAGAGGTTGGGTGCTTAAAATGGGCAGCACCGAACAAATTTTAACGCAGGCTTTCAAATGACCCGCTTATTATGATATCTGATATCTATATGATCAACAGATGGGAGTAACCCAGTACTAGAACTACAGCAGACTTGTGTTTTGGTTCACCCCTAAAATGACGCTTATCTTTCACTCAGGTGCGATTAAGAAACTGACCGCTTATGAAAACTGCTGGCTCGCCCGCACTGATCCGGCTGATGTTGCCCGCGTGGAATCAAAAACCGTGATCAGCACACCCGACCAGCGCGCCACTGTACCCAAGGTGAAAGAGGGCGTCAAGGGCACTCTGGGTATCTGGATGTCACCTGCTGATTTGGATAAAGCATTCAGTGTTCGATTCCCCGGTTGCATGAAGGGTAAGTGGATACATTCATCTTTATCATTTTCGCCATTGATTTCTTCATTGGGCTTTGTTTTTGCTCATCACAAGGGTGTTTCCATGACCAGTTTTTGTACCTTCACGAGTGAACTTGTGTGACACGAAGCAAGTGCTAGTTTTTTTATTATTAAATCTGGTGTAGATTGCCCAATCGCCTTAGTTTTACGCTGCGTTATCTGTCACTCTGCAGTTGGCGTCCTCAGTAATTGTGAAGTCCATTTCTGTGCTCCTCAAATAGGCCCTTGGCATAACGTTATACGTTGTGAGTTCAATTAGGCTATGCATGGTGAGGGTTACGTGGGCTCATGTGGCTTTGTTTTTATTCCTCGCACTCCTGGATCATATTATCCTGCCAACTACCAACAATTCGACATTCTTCTCATTTTCACAGGAAGGACCATGTACGTGATTCCCTTCAGCATGGGTCCTCTTGGAGGTCCAATTTCGAAGATCGGTATTGAATTAACCGACTCCCTTTACGTCGTCGCTAGCATGCGAATTATGACTCGAATGGGTTCGGAAGTGCTCAAGCTACTGCAGAAAGACGACAGCCATTTTATAAAAGCCCTGCACTCAGTTGGCTTGCCGAAACCGGAATCACGTAAGTTGTCCATTCTGACTTAGGTGAATCTGCTCATAGTATGGTCATTTGGAGCTGTAATTGTGCTGTATTCGCGTGACGTGTGTATGTATGTTCTAAGATCGTGCTCAGACGTTTTAGCCGTAGGAACTTTTACTGCTACGTCGTATTCCAAATTGCTTTCTTGCTGGATAACTATGAATCATCCCTTAGTCCATCTAGGTCCATGTTAAAACGCGGAGCAGGAGTTATTCTCGATTTAGGCAACTATAGTACGTCTGAGGCGTCTGACAAACTATGAAATAACAGAGACCATAGATTGATGTCTAGTGTCGGGGACGATCAGGTCTTTAGTATTTATGGTCTCTTGGGCAAGACGGATTGGCTGAAAATTTGAAAATCACAGCTTCCAGTTTCAAAATAATGAGTGGAGAGAAGCTTCATGCCTTTAATTGACGTGGTTGACTTTTCATAGCAGATGAACTTGAACGATAGGAAACACTATGGGTTTGATGATAATCACTGCCTGATTCGGCTACCAAAGGGTTTTTATTTCGCTCATCGAACCAGGATTATTTTTTTTCACCACGTGAGCGACCATTGCAGCTAATTGTCATTGATGGCAAACTTATGAGGGTTTGACTCTTTACGCATCTTGGATATTTCATTTGAGCCATTACCGAAGCAACACGTAGTTCGTGTGAATGTGGTGCGCCAACGATTAATCTTACTCCGCTTGTAACAGTGTAGATATTATTTTATAGGTCCTGTCATCAACCACTGGCCGTGCAACCCTGAACTCACTTTGATTTCTCACATCCCGGCAAACAATGAGATCTGCAGTTTTGGTAGTGGTTACGGTGGCAACTCCCTCTTGGGCAAAAAGTGCTTTGCCCTGCGTCTTGGTTCAATTTTGGCGCAACGAGAAGGCTGGTTGGCTGAACACATGCTCATCTTGGGCTTGAAGACTCCGGCTGGCAAACAACGTTACATTGCCGCTGCTTTCCCAAGTGCCTGCGGCAAGACCAATCTGGCTATGCTTCAGCCTTCTTTACCAGGTTACAAGATCACCTGTGTGGGAGATGATATTGCTTGGATGAAGTTCGATAAGGAAGGTCGCTTGCGTGCTATCAATCCGGAAGCCGGTTTCTTCGGTGTCGCACCGGGTACCGCTATGGATACCAATCCCAATGCTATGCTGACCATTCAAAAGAATACCATCTTCACTAATGTTGCTGAACTCAGTGATGGTCGTTTCTACTGGGAAGGTTTGGAGAAAGATGTGGACTTCAACAAAGTCAAAGTGACTGACTGGACCGGAAAACCATGGGATCCTGTAAGTGCTTTGATCTTCTTTTATCAGATACTCACAAAGGGTTCTGTGCATTTATTTTCTGTTTGCTATCTCCCGTTTTATACGCCCACTACTAGCTACGACTTTGCTTTAAATTAATGGAACTGACGAACCGAAAACAGTTAATCCTACTCATGGTGAATCATTGACCTACTCCGAAATCGCATGTTTTACCTCATAAATGAAACAATTTTTTCTTTTAGTCCAGCGGAAAACCAGCCGCTCATCCGAACTCGCGGTTCTGCACACCTGCCAGCCAGTGCCCAATAATTGATCCAGACTGGGAGAAGCCAGAGGGTGTACCAATCGATGCCATCATATTCGGCGGTCGCCGTCCCGAAGGCGTACCTCTGGTGATGCAATCGTTCAACTGGCGCCATGGTGTGTTCCTGGGTGCCTGCATGCGATCGGAAGCCACTGCAGCTGCTGAACACAAAGCAAAGGTTGTGATGCATGATCCGTTCGCCATGCGTCCGTTCTTCGGCTACAATTTCGGAAAATACTTGGAACATTGGCTCAGGTGAGAACTAGTAAAAGTTTGGGTTTGTATGTGCTGTCCTTTCACCGTCCTCTCCCCGTGTTGGTGAGTAAGTAGTTCCTCCATATGCCCACTAAAAAACCTATTTGCTCCAACGGATCCGCTGTTTCCTCAGATTGCAGACTCATTTCACTTATGAAATCAGAGAGGATTAGGCATTAGAGTACTCAAGCTGCTGAAGCAATCCACAAAAGTCGACCTAAGGACTTACCCATTCGTAAAGGTCACAGTTACCCGAGAAATCTAGTTCTTGTTAAGCACTAAAAGTGGTCTTGGAGTTTTGGTTTCGGCTATCAAAAGGCGAACGTGAGCGGTCACTAACCAGTCTGGTATTTTGCGGCTTTAATCTTAGGCTTCTTTGTAAAGGTTAAAAGGTGATTGATCGATGCAATTTCTTTTTTTCTTAAAAGCTTTGAAAACAAACCAGGTCTGAAGCTGCCAAAGATATTCCATGTCAACTGGTTCCGTAAGGATTCTAGTGGCAAGTTTATGTGGCCCGGTTTCGGTGAGAACTTGCGAGTACTGGACTGGATCTTGCGCCGATGTGATGAAGAAATCCCAGCGGTGGAAAGCATTGCCGGTCTCGTTCCACGTCCTGAGGATTTGAAATTGGATGGTCTGAACCCGAAGCCAGATATCCACACACTCTTGAGCCTTCCTCCCGATTTCTGGAAGAAGGAAGTGCAAGAGCTGAAACACTATTTCGACGAACAATTGCCGGAAGATCTGCCCGCCGCGATGCGTGAGGAGCTAAAGCATTTGGAGGAGCGTGCGAACAAGGCGCATTAAATTCCCTCTCCCTCGTATGCTTTTATCCATTTCCATTTCCTTGGTCACTATCCTTCGTCAAAAACCACGTTTATCCTGCTAGTTCTATAGCTCAGTGCGACCCCTAGATTGTTGGCTTTCACACTTATGTTATTCTGAATCACTACAAGTTGTCTATGTTGGGGTCTTTTATAATTAAATCAACATTGTGTGAATTTTGGTATTGTACAGTCTTCTCCATATGGTTGCAATAGGGCAAAAGAGGGTAAGGAGCAATATGTTTAGCAATGTAATTCAAGTCGCGTACGTGAGTTACTTATCATAGTTGACCTCCGGATGAGCGCTGTTCTACTGGGATTACCCGAGTGTAACACCTAGGGTGCGAATTTGTACAATGAACCAACGCAACCGTCGCTTGCCCGGGGGAACGTGTTTTAGAGCCCGAATTCGGTTAGAATCCGTGGGTGACACGGGTTTTTCTGATAGTGCAGTGGCTTGGGTAGCCTGGAAAACAGTGAATCGAACAGGCGCGTGACACTGGCCTCATTTGCAAGGTCCTTGCGTCTAAATGTACTCGATGTTCACCTCGACACCTACTCGTCAGACGTGCTGAAATCTCCCTCAATCGACCTTTGTGCTCATGGCCACATTATTACTGTAACCACTCTTCACTCAAGCCGCGGCACCGATTCTTCTATGATTTCAACTAATTGTCATCACGTGCCTCGTTTATGTCTGCTAGTTAGGAATTGCACACTCACACACTCAGTCAACCTCAAAATAACCTATCGAGCCTGAATTGCGCAGCGTATTCTCCGCAGATTCAGGTAGTGCTTCTCTTGGGCGAAAAACGAGCGGGCCAGTTTGTTACAGGTCGCCGTTTGGTGATCATTGGAAGAGATTAACCCGCCGTCAGTCCAAACATTAGACCGCTGACAACGCTATTGCACACCTGCCTTCATTCTGTTTACTCCTATATCTGCACCGTTCAGAGTTTGCAGGCGGATGGGCTAAACTCGATTTCACCAGTCCTAGGTTGGCTGAGAATTCCGATATCCCGTTTGTTGAGTGACATCTTTCATTCAAAGTTGGATCACGTTCTATCTGTTCACTTCAGTTGTTACTTTTTTCCTAGAGAGGTGTCATAAACCTGTGTCGAATAGACCAACATTTCTAAACTGTCGCGAGATTGACATCTAGTTTGGGGAGTCAATGATTCGATTGTGCGGACCAAAGGTGCACAAAGTTTCACGTGACTGTACGATCACCATCATATCTGGTGGCAACAGTCCACCCATTAATTTATTTATTATTTATTGGGATACATTTACATGTGTAGCAATGCAGCAAAAATGACTTAAGTTACCAAACCGGGTCGGAACCAGACTCGTTTAATCCGTTCTTATACTCTACCGACTTTTGGAATACTGTTCTTATTAGCTATCAATAGAATGGAATCAGGCTTATGTGTCAGTAGGTGGGGAGATTCTAGCAGTTCATGAATTCAGAGGAAAATGACCGGACTACATGCCGTTTCTTGAGTATAAGAAAGATAGCTTCCCGACGGGAATCGTTTCGTTTGTTTGAATAGTAATAGCATTTTTGGTCTGTCCTGATATTTGACATTGTCATTCGCCGTCGATCTTCCTGCTCATCCTCGCGCTTAATTGCAGTCCTTACGTTTAAATACAGCTTTCAAGTAAACATGTAATTTGACGCGTGAAAAAAACTATTCATTTCGTTGGTTAGTGCCTGCGTGTTGTCCGCTTCAGTGATTAAGTTTTCATACGGTGTGTAAACCGCTAAAAACAAAGACGCAAGGTTCCAAAGAATTAGTAGACAGCTTTTCATCCTTTTTAGGTCTCGATCCGGTAGGGCGCCCGTATTGTGCACTTAATTAAACTTTTTGCAAAATTCCGAGGAATTGGATCGAAGTTCGGTGGTCTGGTTTGAAGTTGCGATAATTTATATGGTCAGGGCGATTTCCACTGATGAAATGAGAGCCAACATGTGAGGAGTTAGATCTATACAAATAATCTACGCGGTAAATTTAAACTAATTTGCCTAACGAAATGCATTAAAGTAGGCGCCTCCGGAATGTGATTTCCAGAATAGCGTATGCGGACAGCGCGCACCGTAATGCAGTCACCTTATCTGACTTACATGGATTCAAATGAGCGGATCCAAAAGTTAGCAATGGACGATTTATTCGCTGTTTTGATTTTGATTGAACATCCTGCTAACTTCATCGTTGTACGTTTTCGTAAGTTCATCTAGTCAATGATTCGCTCAGGTGATTATAGGTGAAATCCGAAGTTTAACTAACAATTTTTCGAATTTCATCATAACTATATCCAAAAAATAGGCCCTCACGAAATAAACAATTTAAGTAGTAAAGTTTCAAGAGAAGCCATTTATTGATTGGTCGAGTGTTGTCTAAATGATTTGCAATGACGGAGGTATGCGAGCACTGCATTTTTCAGTGCTGGCGTGAAACCAACCCGGGAAGCAAGTACAGATGGTACAATGATAATGTGTGTACGCCGCATATGCCTGCAGTTGTGATATTCAACCGTCGCATGATCAGTAAACATACATTGCTCGTGACTCTTCACGAGTCGAATGACACAACAATAAGATTACATCAACACTGGAACATTTGAATCTTCAGTTTTGATTACAGGGTATGTGCTGATAGTTTGTGTATCTTGCTTATAAATAACCTAAATTACATCAAAGTTCACGAGATTTTTAACTGAAATGCTTCCAATTTCCTAACGAATTCATATGCATATATGACAGACTTTGTTAATTTATGCTAACAATTTAAATAAGATAACCAGTGGAACAGTCACCCACGGTCATTTTTTTCCCACATTTTGCCGAAAAATGATAGTTCTGAGGATACAG